CCAGAATCTCTGTGGAGAACCTTATTTGGGGTCGTTCGCCATGCCGGTAGTGCTACCCGGATTGCCTTGATAATCGTGCTGTCCAAGAGATCAGTATATGACGGAGACCGAGTTGGTGATGAATAAATTGATTTAATAAACTAAATGAGGAGAAAAGCTAACTCTAGCTACTACTAACAGGTATTTATAAGTGTTTATCCTCCTCGTGAATCTACAGATTAGTGACTTGTCCTTAGGCAAAATACTTATTACCCAGCCACGTATTTCTAGGTGTCACTAAGTTGTAATGACGCTTCAGCCTCCTGAGTAGTAGTGCCGTTTCGTTCAGCTTCATCTCCACCCCCATACAGCCTCATCGTAAGGATTCTTAGTATCAGGCTTAGGTATCCACCTAAGCTCAAACAACGGTCAAACCGTAACAGTATGCCAGCCGATTCCCGTACTCACTTTCTTGCTCCGATTAGTGGTGACCCGGGTCAAGTCCGGCCACCATGCTTCGGCTCCATACATCGCTGTATTTATGATACATGCCTGTACTGCCTTGATCATTGGTTGCGGGCCTGCGCCCCGTTTAACGCTGTTGATTCGCCGTATAAACTGCGTTAGCCTTTGAGATTTCCCACACCACTATTGCACATGCTGCTTGAAGTTGAGTTGGGAGTCCATCCATACCCCAAGCCATTTGATATACGGGGAAGGTATTATCTTGTTATCTTGGATCTGGATAGCTAAACCTGTTGTGTCCAGCTTTTTCTTAGGACCCCCTCCAATTATCACTAGGTCAGACTTCGACGGGTCAAAACGTATTTTATGCTCGTTTGCAACCCGCAAAATCTTCTCCACTTCTGCTTGACTATTTTCCACCGCTTCAGCTGTTGTGCTTCCAGTGGTGAGAATGGCGATGTCGTCTGCGTACCCAAACTTGTTGAGCTCGCTCCCATTTTTGAATAGATTGGAAATGTACAGGACAAATAGTAGTGGTGATAGTGGCGAGCCTTGCGGGACCCTACACTCCACGACTTTGTCTCGGGTTATTCCATCCTGGTGTCGAACTCGTATCCGTCGGCGGGTCAAAAATGACTCGACCCATCGGCATAATAGCCTGGGCCACCCTTGGTTTGTCATCCGGTGTAATAGCCGTTTGTGGAGAACTGCATCAAATGCGCCCTGCACGTCTAGGGTAATCATTGCTGTTACCTTGTTGTTCCGCATTGCCGCCTCTGCATCATGTATGACACATGAAACAAGTTCGACCACTGAGCGTCCTGGGAGTGGGCCGAAAATCTGTTGAGGGAAAACACGATGTTCAATTGCTAGCCACGCCATTCTTGTGGCTACTGTTCGTTTTAGCCCTTTGCCCAAGCAAAAGAGAAGGGAGATCGGTCGCCATCCTTTAGCTATTGCTAGGTCCCGTCCTGGTTTTGGAAGCATGATGATTTCTACTACTCGGGATATGGTAGGAAAATGCCCATGCTCTAAACACGCTTGGAAGATGTTCTTTACCTGCCGCCCAATGGCTGGCCGGCATGCTCTCAGCAGTCGCACTGTTATCTTGTCTGAACCTAGGGACTTGTTGCCTGAGCCAATAGTAATTGTCGTTACATCCTCTAGTGATATTGTCGCATTCCACGGGATCGACTCTGTTTATTCGGACTTCCTCGTCGGGAGATAGTGGGCCGCGTCAAATTTGGTGAGAAGAGAGTCCCTTAGAGCTTCTGCTTGTTTGAGTGGGTCTGATGTCCACGTGTCCTCCGCGATTTTGAGGGGGAGAGGATCTCGGCCTATCTTGGGTTTTATCCACTGCATCAGTTTAAAGACTTTTGAGTCTGTCATAGTATTCTCAACCTGCTTCCTCCAGTGATCTCTTTTTGCTGCTCTTACTGCATGCTTATGTCACAGTTCAAATATAGAAAGCGAATAGGCATTTGTATGATTGAAAGGTAAAGCTATAATTCATCTATGTAGAAGCAAACTACCTGCAAGTCTACTCTACTACTTATACACATCCAGAGGTATCTAAATCTAGCCTACACTTACAGTGGCAATGAAACTGACTAAAGGTTTGTTCTGCCATACGAGTAACGCTTCCGATACTCTTGGCACTATCCTTTACGTAGCCTCAGTGGCGATCTCGTATCAGTTTTCGTCTGCTGATAATCCTCGGAGTGATAGAGAATAAAGGTTGCCTTCGATAGCCATCGAAGGCTACAGGGCTTATCGGCTCACAAGCCGTCACAGCTTAAACCTTTACCGGGCTTCTACCTCGCAGTCTAGGCAGCTTCAAGCTTCATGATACTCGCGGTGCTTGAATTTGCAGTCCTCATTCCACCACGGAGCTGTGCTTCCTAGCGCTCTTGCGGGTTTGTAACCTACTGCCTCGCGTGCGTCACCCAAAGCCTCCATCAAGCTTGATAGCTGGCATTCAATGTTGCTTACGCTGTTCAAAGGGCCTGGTCTGACTCACGCTTTGAAATACTAGGAAAACTTGGCAAGGTCTTGATCGCGTAGCCGCAGTTCCTGGCTTATTCTAGACATATCGGGCTTTCGTCTCGCATCAACGTACCTGTTGTGTTATCCATGTAACTTACCATGGTACATGCTTTAGGTCGCGTCATAGCATATGCACGTGACTGTAGAACTAAACCGTGGGGTGTTTAGTGTGTAATGTATGTGTGGTTATACTGGACCAAACTAGAACTCGATGGAATAGAGATAATGGAATCAGCGAGAGACTGATAGACTGAGAGAGAACGAGCTGGTCATTTCTCGTAGGAGAGAAATGATATCATAAGGGAATGTTCTAGCACTAGGCTGTGAACAAGACAGTAAGTCTGGAGCAAGATATAAGGAGGTCTCAACCTCCATCCATTCGTTGTAACTAAGATTCCTTTATACGAGAATATAGAGTCAAGTCTTACATATCACGAGAACACACGCAATAGCTACTATAGAGACCTACTGTGAGCATAACTTCCCCAAGAGTATCCATCGTCCTGCTCCCATATAGCCTAGTTAATATAGCAGTACCCAACAATTGTCATATGGTCTAATGTGCAATTATATTCGTGTGATACCAATGCCTCTGCTGTGACGTTGCTCCAAACAAGATCCAATACATTTCCATCCCTGTGTGTAGGTACGCTGATAGTGGTAAGTAAATGCATATCCTGAGCTGTAGGCTCAAGCGATTTTGTAAATCTTCTCACTATACGGGAGTATTATCAGATCACGTGTAAAGGACCAGGGAACCTGGAACAGGCATTGATGTCAAAAAGAGCCATAGCCTTCCGCTCTTGAATTACTCATAGAAAATAAAAACATCTAATTATGGCATTGCTCTCGTGCATTGGCAGAAAGTCCTAGCCCTTCACATTAAGCTCCACTAGGAACCTAATGGGCACTATTTACCGAGCACATTTGTCACAGCTACAGTGTAAAAAACACAGGCAATCTTGTGGGTACAATTGTAAGGGTTTAAATAATTCAGATGTACTTGAATGACAATAACTCGATAGAAATTAATAACTTCTTCCTTAGGGAGACAATCTACCACGTACTCTCCCATCCCTTATAAGTTCTATGTAGACTAGTCTTAACACCCTCCCTTGGCCACCTGAGAATCATCCTTCTTCCCCAGCTCACCTCTTCTCCTGTACCCTATTCCTCATCTGGTACGTACCCTCCTTGATACCTCTTTATGCGCCCCATTCGCAATTCCAGGAGCGCTGCTCTGCCACAGCCTAGCGTCGAAGATAGAGTGGTCCTAGAGACCAGTCCTAATCCGGGTAAAGCCCGTTACAACAGTATATTAATTATATTTTTTGGGGAGAGCATTTAGACAGCTAGATACAACATACGCACTCTAAGATACTCCCCTTTGACAAGATTCTCTCTATGAAAAGAATGGCTTGGATCCTTCGACGACTTCCTAGACGATTCTCTTGGTGTCATCACCTGCGCTAGCCAGCCTAGACCACAGGAATCCATAGGCTCAACAGCCGTCACAAAATTTATAAACAACGTCTTGTAGTCAACCTCATCTTTTCAGGTATATTACGCTCATTCCATTACGCGATATTTCCGCCAAATTGGGACTTTTATTGGGGCCGGTCATGTTGAGAGCAAATTAATTAGGTCGAGGTTCTTAAATCCTTCCCTTCAATGCCATCATCGTCTATACTAGGGCTTGGGTCGAATATGCGCTGACCTGATTCAACTTATTCGACAAGTTTTGAAGAGAACTTAGTGCTCATGTAAGCAATTGTTTTGGTCACTTTCACTCTACTCAACCGATCATTGAAGCACGCACTTGATGGTATTTTCGACTTGAAGGGGGGTAATTAGATATATAATCTCTGATAGGTGGCTACCGCCTGTAGTATGCCAAGATTACGTATTGGCCGACAGATTTTTTGCCTACACCTTACGCTTGGGATATCAGTCTTTCTTTCGGACTAGCCTTGTAATTTCCGCACACGATCAACAGGCTCATGTTGTATCTTCAACTGTTAGTTCTAACTAGGATATTTAGGCAGGACCTAAGTTCAATAAAACTTTGGAATGCGAGAGGTGAAAAGATATGCGAGATTCGAGATAAATTTCTATCTTAGCTGTGAAATTACTGTAATTGAAAGAGCAGCTTGGATGGGTAGTGGCATAGGCTTCAAAATAAATCAAAGAGTTGGCTTTGAAGCAGCTCAACAGAAGCTTACGCTTCAAATCTAGTAGATATCTACCCCACGTAGATATGGTGAATTTAAAAGAATGTGAGATTTCATTTCGTATCGCTAACTGTCGTCATGTTTCCCAAGTTATCCATGAATTATGTATGCTCTATTCTCGGATGAATGGCATCTTTCCCAATGTTCGCTCGCAACCGACTTGACGTGAATCCAATCTCTAAAACTGCGTGACTTAAGGTATGCATCAGGGCTATACTGTGCTAGAAGAATGACCTTTATTTTCACGATGACTACACAATGGAGTGGTTCTTTCCGCTTTTATTGCTGGTTGGACTTGAAGTTAGGAGCGTTAACACTCATCATCGATGGCTTGATTTTTGGAGGATAAAGTTCATTCAAGTTGTAGCGCTTATGCATCTCCCACTCTTTTCCCATCACGACACTCATGCCACAGATACCCTGTAGTTATCCATAGAGTTAAATCTTGATGGAAAAAGCAAAGATAGGGAGACTAACCTGATATATCTCTATTATGATTACCCTATCCGCATTAACCAGGTCAACTTGGTGGGAATTAGAGATTGAAGCGGCTATTTGCTTGATGACTTCGTCTCTTTTGAGGGTGTTATGGTTTCGGATGGTTGGTCGAATAGCGTACTACCTTACTGATCAATCATCTGAAATACCGAAGCAAGGTAATCATTTTCCAACGCCCCTGGTTAACTATGGAAATACTTTTACTCACAGAAAAGCGATTGCCATTTGTAGATTCCTGATTTTCCTCTTGAGATTCATGCGTAGCAAGACGAAAGTGTTTCGATAAGACTTTACTCGAAAGTTCTTGAAGACCTTTTTCTGTTGCCTTTTCCATTAGCGTCATGGGCGTTAATCGATTAATGTATCTCGTCCGATAAAGATTGGGCTCTTCCACGACCAGCTTTATGATATCCTCCACAAATTTGACCGGGTCGATAGGTGGTCGCGTCTTGAAGAACAAGACACATTGTAGATCTAGATACACTGGTGAGAATAGTTTCGGCGCGGATTTCGACTTTCCTAATGCCTTAATCTCTTTCTGGATGTAGGCTTCTATATCATCATCTTCCTCTTCTTCAACCTGAGGAGCATCCGCTATGATTCCGTACAATTTTTGAGCACACTTTGGTGTAATCAGCAGTATTCAGATCATTGCAGAACAGGTGGGTTTACCTCCTCAAGAAAGAGCCGAAGCTCTTCGGTAGCTTTTCCTTCCATTCCACGCGCACATGTGGCCCATACTCCACTATCACCCGGCTCAATCCTTCCGCTAATGCGAGAAGCCGCCACAGCGAGCTGGTGAGGAGTGTTCCATCTTCCGCCGGATCCTCCCTTCGCAGACCACAAATGGTTAGTCTAGGTGCAGAGAAGAAGACCAGCTCACACCACGTAGAGTGGCTGAAGAATAAAAGCTTAACTAAGCTTGTGGAAATAACAATCAGTTGATGTGTCAAGCCGGGTCTGCTCAGATGTGGTTATCAGAGCATAGGATACAGGTCAAGGTACATATCTTCGGCACCATGCGGCAAGATCATAATCAACAGCGATGCCGCCTCCAAAGCCCTGCTCTCATCACCAGTAACTACACGCACCTGCAAGCCAAAGGCATATTCAACGTACTTTGCTTATTTTACCTCCTCTTCCTCCGCAGCCTCTCTCTCCTGCAGGCCGAACTTTACGCTTGATCGCATCAGACATGGTGTGTATAACGCTGCCAAATTCAGGGATTTTTCAGACTCTCTGGACTGTGCGTGTATGCAGTTGGATCGATGGCCCTGATTATTCGAATTGGGTCAATGTCAATTTCCGTGATAGACATGGCTCGCTTATCGCTTCTTTATATTTTTTACTTCATAGTGAATTCAGCTATCTAGCTATGACATATTTATAATTTACAGCCCCATCAAACTCCTTACACATCATAACTCTCTCCATCAATCCAAACTATTTATTTCCCAATCATATATCCTAGTTCAACTCCCTATATGTGCTGCCGTGCTCCTGGAAGTATCCAAATATTGAAGTAATGCCCTTTTCCCCATTTTTGTTCGGAATAAGGTCGGAAGTGACCTTGGCTCTAAGCCCTGAAAGCATTTGTTCCTTTGATCTCTGAAACTAGGACAGTGTAACAACAAGTGCTGCACATTCTGTCTTTCTTTACCACAAAAATTGCAAATATTATCTTGGACCTTTCCTATCATGTGCAGGTAGACCCTAGTTTTTCCCACTCCAAGTCTTGCCTGAGAGAATGCAGATTTTGTTTCCCTGCTGTGGCCTTGGAATCCAAATGGTGTGTAAGAGAAATCTGGCTGGTTTGTCTGGGCCTTTCCACCTTCCTCCTCATGCCAGAGCTCCATCTCCCAAGTCCCACTTATCGCTTGTGTGTCGCTAATACTGAGGCTTTTTCAGATTTCCTTGCGCCATGAACAACGAAGACTGATCCGTTGGCAGTGGTGTCCCACACGACCCGTCAGACTTTCCATGCATCTAGAAATGCAAGAATAAAAATTTATTCTTCATTAGCGTTACCCTCAGTTGTTCTATCAAACATCTGATAGCTTGGAACCTACTGATTATAGTAATGAGAATCATAGGATATTGGGATGACACATCTTTCCGGATTAACCTTACTCGAGCTTTGACATATCACCAGGGATATGGTGATTAGAGTGTTCAAGATGTTCAGGATGTTCAAAGCCCCAACCTGAGATCTCTTGCTCTCCAACACATGAAATATATTGCATATGAAATATGGGAAACGTGAAGAAGAGATTCTATCCCGGAAATAGTTTCACATTGGGTATGCGGTATCAAGGCCGGAGAGGAGTTGACGAGCAGAGATTTTATCAATACAATTTTATTTTACAATTTTCGTTTGACCCTCAGTGTCTAACAAGTTCCCTAGCTCTAAGGGCGGCCTTCTGCTACATCTTCGACAACATGACTGGGGTCACGATTCTAGGTAAAGGAGGCTATCAGGGTAGGATTGAGTCAATATGAAGTTAATTGAATGGTTCCGGAAATTGTAAGAATGACATACCAAGTATGAGGATGAGTTAGAGTTATGATGAGTTTGTTTAATGTACGACAAAGTCTACTGATGTTTAATGGATAGTTAATTGTGATTAAATTGCTATAATTCTATATGTGTGGCAAGAAGTCCCTCTATATACATGAAAGCGGGATTTTCGGCACACTAGTGTGAACTCCAATATACTTCCTAATCTAACCTAAACGGGAAGATTGTTGGAGATCCTGAAGCCAATGTATGCTGTCAGGCATCTATTGGCTAATTACTATTCATGCCAGTGAGTGATGATATGGGTTAATCATATCTGATGGCGGCAGTGCATATTATTCTAATATGTACTATTTGTCTACTACAGTCATGTTGCTGCCTTAATTACAACAAAATTAACCGTGACCATTACATTATAAAGCTTTCAAAGTCTTGCTCGGCATGAAAAGCTGAGCTGTCTGACAAACCGGACCAGTATACAAGACTGGGTCCATAAGCCAATCAACTGCTGGTAATCCCCGTAACAGAATAGCAGTCCTCTATAATGATTATGAGGTGAGTGTTTTCATACTGACAGTAGCTTGACATTTTGTTGGAAATCTAGATTCAGTATGTATGAAGATCTAGATTTCTGGGTGTGATCATCAAGATCAATTGAATTGATTCGATTGAATATGATTAAGCTCAGTTGGACGAAATAAGGTTCAGTGGCTAGGAAATGCTAGTTTGCGATAATTGAGAGGCTGGTTGTTGCTAGATCACTTGGAGTTTGGGATCACTAAAGCTTTGGGAATCTATGTTTAAGGATAGACTTATCCGTAAATGCTAAATTTAACTCAACGGAATATTATATATTCTTAATTTATATTGAGAAGAGGGTTTAATGTCATATACAACTATCAACAAACTCTTGTCCGAAATTGTACACTTGTTCTTTGAGATATTTCCTCCTAGAAATTCTTGACTATTACGAAGACGTTGCGGTGCGCTCGATTCTATTCTAGAAAGAATGACAATATATTTACGATTGAACGGAATATTAAGCTTACACTTAGCACACGCACTCTTCTACACATCCCACATCGCATCACTCATAACCATTTCTACAAGAATCTCCAACCGGTGCAATGGCCCCAGCTGTTGCATCGTCATCTACAACGCCCTCCGACCCAGGAGGGCATCATCATCCAAGCCTGCTTGGCATTGTTAACCCAATGCAAAAAGAAGAACAAGAAAGAAAGGAAAGATTGGACATAATCCAGGAATTTCTTGAATTAACCGACTCCTGGGCTAAGAGCAAAGGAGAGAAGCAAGCAGCAGCTGTCGTCGCGACGCTGATGGAAAAGATAACGCCTGTCATAACTGCTTTTGCAGTAGATCAGGCAGAAACAAATCCCCCTCATAGTAAGAAATAATCCACCATGGCAAGCACTCCTAAACCAGTTGCGCCTAGGAACAATACAGCTGTTGAGGATCACAGCCACGCCCTACCCTCAAAGCCTCAAGACACCAGCTCGCCCTGGGTGACAGTAGCCCACAAAGCGGCCAAGCTACCGACGCCGCCAAACGTGCAGGTTCCGGGAAGGCCTGAGCCAACAGGCAACCCGAAACCCCTGACAGCCCCCAAAGGAAGACAAGCGCTTGTTCCTACGATCGAGGAAAGATCACCACTGGCACAAGTTATCACCAGTCATGATCAAGAAAATAATTACCGACAAGGCTGGGATAGCGACTTCCGCTATTACGTCCATGTACCTAGTCAGGTCGGGGATTGCTCTCGAATGCGCATCAGACGCATTGACAGATATCATCATGAGGATTGCACTTTCCCTACGGGAAGAAAACACTGTGATTGAGGAAGCGTCCAAATGGAAATCACTGATCGTAACTTATGTGCTATTGTACATCAGGACACTTGAAGGTAGCGTCCCAGTCACTAACGACATGGTGAAGAACGAGTGCCAGGCTGTATGCGGCGCCACTCCAATCTAGGTACGGCCCACAGAAACAAAACTTGGCCAATACTCCACGAGCTGGATTATTCATTTCCAACAGAAACCAGCCAACACCAAGTTCCGTCTCTTTGACGAGAGCGGACCAGCAATCATATCTTCACGCCGACGACCGATCGAGCAATGCCAACGTTGCTGGGGATTCCACACAACGCATTCCTGTACCCGGAGCCAACGATGTGGGAGATGTGGAGGAACCTACGAGACATCAGAGTGCTAGGCCAAGGTGTCAAAGTGCTCAAATTGCGCGGGACCTCACCACTCAAATGAGGGTAGCTGTATGGCTCGGCCAGGACGACAAAACGGGATAATTCTGCCCCGTACCCCGGCAGAAATTCACATCATCAGAGAACGCGGACATCGTGGTTATCACACTGCTCTAGCATACTCAGAAAGGAAGGGTAAGGCGGTTGAAACAGTCATTGCCCAGGACTCAACAATGTCGTGTTAATGTTAGGAAACTCCTCAACAAAAGCATGAAAAGACAAATACAACACCGTCCACTTTCACCGAGTGAATATCGGAAGAGGTGGGAAAGATACGGATATAGCATTGCAGGAGGTATAGGATGCCGGTGCACATGTAGTCATGGTACAGGGACCATGGACAAGAAAGAAAGAGTGGGGTTTTATATCGAAAAGTCACCCCGGCGATAATAGCCATATACCATTTGGAGGAACAGAAATTATTGTAATTTGTTTGCTAGACCTGGCGGTGTAGCTTATCACAGTTAGAGAGTGTATTCTAGGATGCAGTGGTGGCTCGTTACAGATGCGATTGCGACAATACAATTGAGAGTTGTATGAAAGTTTGGCACTTCTATGGGTCTCAATTGTGTGGAGGTTGATTTAATTATTGATGATAATTGCTTGTTTTATTTATTTATAATACTTAACGTCGTGCCGGCTAGCTCAGTCTAAATAAAACTTCCCGACGTGTTGGCGCCTGAATAAACCCAAAAAAGCAAATAAAAGCCAGGATCTTATCATCCTGCGCTTGAAGATTAAATTATACATGGTTACCTGTCACCCTTCAACTCTCATGTTTTCAGATTGTATTGAATGAAGAATAAATTAAATAAACAATATGGAAGGGGGAACTTAGTTGAATCACATGATTCCCTTTCGGTCAGACTTGTTGTGCTTTTCCCAAGAAACTTGTGACCGGCAGCCAGCTATTAAATGCGTGAGCTCGCTCTGCGGAAGCGAGAGCCCAAGATTTGCTGGGGCTAGGATTCTGTGCTCTGTGGAGCTGTACCTGGAACTGCCCGAGGTGGCAATAGAAAAAGTAGTTGGGGGACTTTTCTTCTCCGCATGAGCAGGTTAGAATGGCGTTTTCGTGCTGAAACCGTCGGTAGTAGTCTGCGAGATCGCCATGTCCAGACCGTGCAGCTAATAGATATCCTAGTGTGCGTCGCCCTAGACAGGCAAGCTCGGCAGTAATCTTAGTAGTAGGGCCCATTCCTAATTCTTTATATCTAGATGGAGAATATTCTGCCCAGTAAAGTGCAACAGAAGCCTCGTACTGGGCTTTAAATTCCCTTCTTGCCCTCGCAACAGAGAATACCGAGTGTAGAGCTGGAGCCGCACAAGCGGCTCTGGCAAGCGCGTCGGCTGCTTCGTTTCCCTGAATACCTGCGTGGCCCGGGCACCATCTGATGGCCACTT